TGGAGGACATCATCCGCCAGAAGAAGAGGTTGGAACAGGACCGATCACAGGTGAAGCACCGGGGGTCTTCGTGCTTTGTGTTCATGCGAGCATCCACCTCCAGAAGTCCATCGTCGGTCTCCTTTTTTTTTTTTTTACTTGTGCTTGTTTGTGTGCTACAGACGAGGGAGAACCTACAGCAGGCCCTGGAGAGCCTGAACATGAATGGCTGCTCAGTGGAGGACCTCGGTTTGGACTTCACCCTTCCAGGGTTTCCCAACATTGAGCTGAAAAAGGGCGGCAAAGACTTTCCCGTCACAATCTACAACCTGGAGGAGTACCTCAGGGTCCGCCAAATGAGTTCTTCTTGCAGCGGCCACTTTTTATCCATCTCTGTATTGTTGCTTTTAATGACTGATCTTCTCGTCCTTTCTCTCTTCAGCTGGTGGTGTACTGGACTCTAAATGAAGGAGTGTCCAGACAATTTGAGTCATTTAGGGAAGGGTTTGAATCTGTCTTCCCTTTGCATCACCTGCAGTATTTCTATCCAGAGGAGGTGAGCACATTTCCTGTTTTCTGACCTCTTCCATCCTGGTTAGTTAGGTGGCATTTTCTTCTGTATTCTGTCCTTTTTGTATGATCTAAGAATATCTATATTAAATGACATGTCTGATACAATTTGGGGGCTTTCATTTTTATGCATAAATTGACTGACTTTGTTGCTAAAACCTTTTTTGGGGAAAAATGAATATTCACGCTGTCCTTTCCCCGCTCCAGCTGGACCAGTTGCTGTGTGGCAGTAAATCCGAGACGTGGGACGTCAAGACGTTGATGGAGTGCTGTCGACCGGACCACGGCTACACACATGACAGGTGAGACCAAACCCTTTGTCTGTCTGTAGATTATGGCTGTGAAATCTGCACATCTCGCACTCTGTTTGTGTTAAAGTCGAGTGTCTAACGCTTCGCGTGTATTTCCTCCCACGTGTTTGCAGCCGTGCCGTGCGGTTCCTGTTTGAGGTGCTGAGCAGCTTTGATGCCGAGCAGCAGAGACTGTTTCTGCAGTTTGTCACAGGAAGCCCCAGACTGCCTGTTGGTGGTGAGTCACGACTCGGACATAGTACTTCTGATTAGGTCTTATTAGCTGCTTACAACTATAGTTAGGAAGTTACGGATCAGGAATTCCTTGTTAATATCAGTTTTATAATGCTGTATAAACGTCAAGCAACTGTATTTATTGATGTTTCTCACCAAAACTAAGATTACAGCACAACAACAAATCGCTGCATATCTGTTTATGCTCAGTTGGCGCCTTTAGCCAAGAAGAATTCCAACGGCTAACAACAACTAGCTCTCTGCTTTTTAAATAGCTCTGTATTTGTAGTTCACAATGTAACATTTCAGGGATCAGTGCTTGGGATGCATTCACATTTTTACTGAATATTTGCCCCCCATGTAGAAAGATCAGTCCAACTCGTGCGTGCGGCATTCCACTCACACAAACACATGTAGTTCCTCCGATGCATGCGAGCAGGTCGGCTTTCTAAACCGCCGCGTCTACAGGTCACAAGGCCTCTGACTTCAAACAATCCCTCACGGCTCAACGCGTCATTTTCTGACTCTGCGCGAATGTATTGAACGGGAAGCCGTGTCTCCGCTATAACTCTTCCCCCGACGCCTGGCTCCCGTGTCTCAGGTTTCCGGAGCCTGAACCCCCCTCTGACGATTGTGAGGAAGACGTTCGAGTCGACGGAGAACCCGGATGACTTCCTCCCCTCGGTCATGACCTGTGTCAACTACCTGAAGCTGCCTGACTACTCCAGCATCGAGATAATGCGAGAGAAACTGTTGATCGCGGCCCGCGAGGGCCAGCAGTCGTTCCACCTTTCCTGATCTCTCCCCATCTCACATTCAAATGCCTTCTACAGCGACTGATGAAATCACGACTTCCTTCTTAGTTTTTTGTAACCACATACATCGAGGCTACATGTACAGCCTTCTTGTTAGAGAAAGCAGCTTGCAGAAAAATTAAGACTTTAAATATATATTTGCTGCCCTGGTCTCTCAAAAAAAACAAATACAAAAAAACACAAAAAAATGAAAAAGTGTTCCAAGACTCGCAGAACTTAAAATATAAAAAAGAGAGAGAGTAAAACTTATATCAGTAGTTGAGTAATGTTAAACAAAAAAAAGAAACATCTGGGGGACATTTTTAATTGCATTGCTATGTGATATTTAAAAAAAAAAAGGGATGTCTCCTCTCCAGAGTGGTGGACGGCGGATGGGTAGGATGTAGGATGGGGGGGGGGGATCCATCGAGCAAGCTAGGTTTACTTTAGCTCCAAAGATCATTTGTACAGACAAATTTGCAGACTTTGCTCATTCTACACATTTGATAGAATAGCTCTTTGTTCTCATGTCTCTTCCCCTCAGTCCGTCTGTTTGCATTTTGTTCTGTATTATATTGACCCCCCAGTTTGTGTGTTGCGTTTTTGGTTCTTCTACCCTCCCCCTCCCCCCCGTGTGTCTTTTGCTTTGAGTTGTGGACAATGAGAGTTGCAGTTGGCTGGTTGAATGCGGGTAGTGATGAGCGTATATTTTTTATTTAGTTTTTTTTCTCTCCCCTCTACCCAAGTTGAGATTGTGTTCTGGCCTCCTTTATAATAGAGCGCTTCAGCTCAAATGAAGACTTGTAACCAATGTGTTGAATTTATTTTTGCTCTCATTTCGATAGAGTTAGTGTCTTTCTGTTGGACCCTACCGGATGTGTAGGGTCATCTTGGTCGACCAAGCTCTGAGCAACCCTCAACACATAATGTAGCTGGGCAAAAAAAAGATTTGGCTGGTCTCATTTTATCGTTTCATGGCCAGATAGCATTTCAAGTTCATTTACGAAATAAAGTTTATATGCAGTTTCACACCCTGTTTGAGGTGAGTGTCTGCTTTATCTTTTTTTTTTTTTTTTTAATTTTCTATATTGTCTTTATTTCTTGCTGTAGTTGATAATTATTTTCTTTGCACTGCTGGCTTTGGAACAAACCGTGGTGTGCACCTGCAGTCTGTGGCCAGGGGAGGGCGCCACTGTATGTTCTCCTGGCCCAATCGTTCATGTGCTGGTTTCTAAGATCTGCAATAATTTACTGCATCAGGTTCATGTTTTTACCTGAACATAAATAAAGTAACTGTTTGACTCATCCTTTGTTTTATTTATCCATCGCTGCACCCGAGCTCTCTACAAACCGAACCGCACGACGACGTTTCAGGCAAATCTCGCCGCTCTCTGGTTGTCAACGGACAGGACGAAGGTGACAAAAGGTGATTTATCCGACTCACCTGGAATTTCTCTGCAGGGTTGAACTATAAACGGCCTCTAAGCTGGATCGTTACCACCACTGTGTTCCCAGTCTGACACAACAAAAGCTAAGCCTTGGATTTAAAACGGCATGACCGTGTAGTTCAACTGCAATCATGCATCCCCTTTTCTACAGAATGTCACTTAATAGAAAACTTGTCCCGAGCCAAATTGAAATTCCAAGACTTGACGCAATGTTCTCGTCCTCTGGACTGGCGTGCGTGCGTGCGTGCGTGCGTGCGCAGCACTAAGAGTTTGCAGTCTGCTGCAGCACCCGGAGCCGCGATGAGCTGGCTTGAGTGGTGGGAGGTGACGGATTCATTGCACCTCAGGACGACTCATTATGGAAATGGAGAAGGTGGAGGCTGGAGTCTCATTAGCAACCAACAGGGCCTCGTATTGATCACACTGAAACAAAACAGCCCGCTCAGAAACACTCGCCTGCATCCATCGGATGTATTGAGGTTGTAAATCTCAGACAATGAATCCAAAGACGTGTCCTGCTAAGACGGATTTTATTATTGGGGTAAAAATGCTGAAGGTTAAATTTATACATATTTATGTCCAATTTTTTGATTAATGTGTGATTACGTTTTCCATCTCAATTGATTTAACACAACACCGCCACGTATTGATGTTTAGTCCCTAAGGAACCGGCTCAGTGTTTCAACAGCCTGCTAATGTGCATTAAAACCATTTTTGACCGCTGTAATCCTCTACGTACATTTAGAGATGGTGTTTGTAGAAGAGCTGAGCGACAAAATCTGCAGTCCTTGTTAGGAGCAAGTTAATGAAATCTCCTGGTGGTCGTCCATCGTTTGAAGAAAGACTTTGGCAAACCTAGTAAAGCTGCTGCTGAAACTGCTGCGGTACCCCCCCACTACCGAATAATTACCTCCCCACTACCGAATTTTGGGGTTTTCTTCTAAAGCCAGATAACTCAAGGCGTGCCACTTGTCTCAAACTATTAATTTAATATTTAAAATGAGGAAACTGGCCCCTTTTTAAAGTTCAATGTCCCATTGATTAGTTTGTGAAATGAAAGCATTGCATCCGATGAAACACTTCAGTGTCTACTCGAGGAGCCTACAACCTGTAGCAGGTGTTTCACTCAAATTCATGATCCAAAATAAACAAAGTCCAAAAACTGGACCTAAACCATCATGAATGCTACTTTCAGCTTCTATGTCAAGACATAGATGGTTCACTGGTGACGGACAGCTGCAGCATCTTTACACAGTGAATTGTTTTATGAAGGATGACATTTGGGCCATTTTTGCTCTGAACCACCTTGAGCATCAGTCTGCTTTCAACAGACTCCGTGTGCCTCGTCTCCCTTGTGGCAATGCTGCCTATACGAGCGAAGAGCAGCTTACAGCCGAACTGATGATATTCTCCACCAACACCACCACCGCTCATCTTCCTCCCCCCATTTCCCCCCAAATACACCACCTTGAGAAGCTAGTTCCAAGGAGAGGTTATGGATGATGTTCTAATTCAGGAGGGTGCACAGCTCTCCTGCGACTCGCTCACAGAAGCCAGTAAAGAGAGAGAGAGAGAGAGTGTGTGTGTGTGTTTGGGGGAGGAGGGAGGGAGGGAGGCAGTGTCGTCAGCAATCTCCGTCACTGTGAGTCGGAGACAGAACACCCTCCCCTTCTCCTCCCGCATCCCAACCTTCTCTCCCTCAGCCTCCACACCATCAGCCGGTCTGCTCTCATTCTGCCTGCCCACAGCTGAGGCTCCACATCCTACACCTTCCTCTCCTCCTCCTCCTCCTCCTCCTCCTCCTCTCTCTCTCACAATCACACACTTCTCAGCTGCTGCATGACCGGCAGCTGCTTGGGTCCAAACCGAAGCGCCCCAGGAAACCGCAGCATGAGGATGAGTGTGTGCGGTGCGCCGGCGGCCCCCTGCTGCCGTCCCACACAGGTCGCACGGAGCCTCGCGCCCCCCCTGCTCCTCCTCCTCCTGCTGCTCGTCAACGGCGGCAGCGGCGGCAGCATCGGGGCCGTCCCCTCCGCCTTCCAGCTGGCGCCGGACACCCCGTCCCCGGCCGAGCCCACCCCGACCCGGGCCACATCTCGCCCGGACCACTGCCAGGGGCGACCCTGCCTCAACGGGGGGTTCTGCCTGGTGCTGCCGCTGGCTGACGGGCCAGAGGACACCTGGGAGTACACCTGTACCTGCATCCAGGGCTTCACCGGACGCAACTGTGAGGTACGGACGTCATGCACACTGGCTTTATACTGTGTGTGTGTGTGTGTGTGTGTGTGTGTGTGTGTGTGAGATCTTATCCTTTAGTTTGTTGCTTCGGAGGACAGATGCTGATGAAGTTTGGAGTAGTAAAGAGGAGCAGATGACAGGGGGGGTCCATGTGTTGAGCACTTTAACACATTTGCTAATTTTTTGTGTTCTGTTTCTTTTTTTTTGTTGCATCAGGCATATTTGAGTCACGGGGGACTGTTATTCTTCATTATTCATTATCATTATCCCAAGGGGCTCAACTTGGATGTTGTTTATGTGTGTGTGTGTGTGTGTGTGTGTGTGGGGGATAATCCTGCATCCTAGCTGGGTTTGGATTTGCATGCGAGTCGTACAGTAGATGACGGCATGCGTGAGAGCGTTCTGGCTCTTGCTTCTTGGATGTTTTTTTAATGGGAGCATGCGGTGTCACTGAGACACGGAGACGAGTGCTGCGTTGCTGTGGCAACAGGCGGGAAGAGCAGCTGCAGTGGGATGCGAGCGAAAGCCGTAGAATTGTGTGCGCGTGTGTGTGAGCTGTATTCTTGACCCCATGTGACGTCTCCAAGTTAATTTCTTTCCGTCTGTGCAAACCAAAGAAGTATATAAAGTCTGAGTAAATCTTGTGGTGATGTGAAATTTATTCCTAGTCCGCATTCTCTAATAATTTGTATGACGGGTGAGTCTGTTAACATCTGGGAGAAGGCCAAAGGATCCTTCTCCACACCGCATCCATTAATTGGAACATCCGGACATTCATTTGCAAGTTGTTCTGTCCGTCTGGTTGAAGCAGCGCGTCTCTTTTAATACCATTTCTTTTGAAGTCTACAGAATGCAGATTTACTGCAGCTCAGTGCCTGCTGCTGCTCCAGAGTCCATAGACAAAAGAAATGGTTCTGGCTAATAACAAAATATTAGACTAGCAGGATGGTTTCCATTACTCCAGAGCAGATGATGTGTTTTCCCTTCTTTTGCTTTTCTACACTTTCATCTATTCAAGGACATTTGAAGTTCTGCAGCTTGTCACGGCGATCCCCACATAAACCCGTTCTTTCGCCGAGTTGCTTGTAATTCATCTGAGCTTCACGGTACGTGGACTGTGGCTAAGCCTCGGTAGCATTAGGCTCAGTGGCTGTGAGTCATGCCGGGGCGACAGGGAGCATCCGCCAGCAGCCGAGAGGAGAGAAATGAGTCTGCTGCAGCATCACGGAGGGAAACGGCAAGGTGACTGCGTGAACTTTAACAGGATCACCAACAGGTGGCAGCCGCGTCCCCCTCCTCTGTGTACATGTTGGATGTGCGTAGGGTATGTTTGCTCATCCTGTGCACGCATGCCCATGTTGTTTGTGACGATGGGAGGTACAGTACGTGCAGGTGAGGCCGCTGCAGGTGTGCAGGTTTTATATCGAAGCCATGCGGTGGGGCGTCAGCAGGGGCCTGATCACGGCCGCCTTGGCTGTCCTGGTTCCATGTCTCAGAATAGAAAGCAGAGCTGCAGTTGCTTCACTGTACTGCGCTGCGTTCCACCCAAAACCTCAAAGGACCATGTTGTCTCACAGCCCCAGCTGAGGCCGGGCGAGGCATGTGCAAAAATTCTCCTCTGCTGTACAAATCCTGAGACAAACCTCTCATGCGTCAAATATCAAGTCCGGAACCGGAATCACTTGGTTTTTGCCTGGCTGCCCTCCTGCTGCTTGTTTCTTCTCCATGGAAACTGGAGCAGGAGTCAATTGAGATTTGGTAAATGACCTGATTGGCGGAGCGCGGCGCTGGTTGCCTCTGCATGCGTCACCACGCAGATGGTCCAGTGACAAAGGAGGAGGCGAGATCGAAGACAGAGATGCCAGTGAAGAAGCACGAGACATCGGGCTTGAAGAGGGTAAAGTCCTGGCTCGGGGGTCTTGGTGAAGAAATGCTGCGGCGGCTCACCTTCTTTGCTTGTTTTATTTCAAAACCTGTGTCAAACCTGGCACACACACACACACGGCAGGATTCAAGCAGAAACCAAACACGAACCGTGAAAGTATACTTGTCAGTGTGTAATGTTTTCATATTTTCCGGCTAAATGTGTCAGGGCAGCGATTGCAGACCACAGCCGCAGGCACCAGGGGACAACAAAGCCGCTCTGCTTGGTAAACTCAGTTTTAATATAATCCTGCACCTTTTTCTGGATGACAGCCTGTAAGCTGTCCCGTCGGAATTCACAACCAGTGGCTTTCGTCTTGAGTTATTAGCACCGCAGCCTCTGGCTTATTCATTATTATTCATTATTGAAAGGCCTGTTGTGCTCCCTGATGGATTTGGTAACTTGCTGTACAACACAATAAGTCCGCGGGAACACAAAACAGCCATCTGTCATGAAGCAGGTCCAGGGAAAGTTATATGAAGGCAGAATTGAGTTAAGTTTAAGGCCCCGGCATTGCGAACACGGCGCGCATGTTTTATTAACTGCAGCCAGCAGCCCTCGGGTTTTGCAGCCATGGCATGGAGGTTGCGTGTTTGTGGGAACGCGTGAATGCACGTGAGCGTGCACACACGTGGTTGCTGCTAACGCGAGCTAACGTGAGCTAACGCTTCTTTGACTGTTGTTTGAAGAGGAGATTTGGAAGCGAAAGTGGGGAAAGAGGTTTAGTAGATTTAATAAAGGTTGCAGAGATGACGTCAGAGCTGTGATGGACCGTAGGCTTTTTTATGTCAGCTCATCACCGTTACTTTGTTCCGGCTTCCCCGTGTTTATGCTGAGCTAAAATAATGAATTGGCTCAAGCTGTACGAGAGATGTTATTAGTTTAATCTGTAAAACAATTTTGTGTGTGTCTGTGTGTCTGTGGTGGTCAGCTGCTTCCTCCCGGCGCCATTCACTGCTACAGCAGATACAACCTGAGCCGCATCCAATTAAGCCGAGCTCAAAGCTCATTGCCAGCCTTTGGTCTCTTTGATATCCCTGTCTTGTTAGTCAGAGGCTGTGTGTGTGTGTGTGTGTGTGTGTGTGTGTGTGTGTGTGTGTGTGTGTGTGTGTGTGTGTGTGTGTGTGTGTGTGTGTGTGTGTGTGTGTGTGTGTGTGTGTGTGTGTGTGTGTGTGTGTGTGTGTGTGTGTGTGTGTGTGTGTGTGTGTGTGTGTGTGTGTGTGTGTTTCTGGACTCTCGTATCCTCTTCATATAGAGGACAGTATTTTTATAGCTCTATTTATTGAAGCACTTCAGATTAACTTAATAATGTTCAGGTGATCATCCATTTTGCCTCGGTTGGTGTTTTGCAAATTATTTTCAACATTCATTAATATTGTTAAAATGACTAAATTGACCATACAAATGAATTAAATTTCTCAATTGTTGCCGATTGACTGATTAAAATTGATTTAACTTTCTGTTAACAGACTAATTCATTCTTTAACAAATTGAGTCGGTGTCTGAATAATGACAATATTGGTGTGGTATAAAAATGTCACAAAATTGAATCAAGCAACATGGGAAAACATAAATAAAAAAACAAATAGATCAACGAATAAATAAATAAGGACCAGTGATGATGTTGGAAAAAGTCCAATAATGAGTCTGTGCTCCTTCACATAGAAGCACATGGTGTTCTGGGTCATCTGATAATCAAGATGTGACTCATATGGATTTTGAATTGGTGAGATACCTTTGATCTGGTTCAGCTAATCATCTGACCAGGTTTCCAGCACAATTCATCCGGGAGGCGACAGATTTGACAGTCACACTGTGGTGACGCCATGTTAGCTTGATTAAAATGTCAATTCTTCCGATATAATCTCTATTTAAATGTCTTTTGCGTCCCTCTCGTATATCTCAGTAGGGGTTAAAGGCGTGTTTGCCTCTGATAACTACTGCGTTTAGAACCATTTGCTATACTGAAACAAATTCCCTCACATCCCACAACAAAACTGACTAAATATAATAATAGTTTTGTCAATATCAGTTTGAGTTTGCTGCCCCGGGGAAAGGATGTGGGATCACACAAGTTCAAGCTGTGCCGTGTGATGGGAAATGTGTTTTGATATGATATGAAGAAATCTGGTTGACATTTCGCCTTGTGAAAAGCATCCAAAGGAGAAAGCTGATCCTCCTAAAAAAAAAAGAACTCTATACAGCTATTTGAAAAAAATAGGTGTCTGCATCTGCAAACTGTTGCATCACTTAAAACGGCTTAGAGCCACATGTAACCATTGACAGATGGTTTGATGAAAGCAAGGATGTCACTTTGGTTAACAGGCTGCTTATAACCCTGCCGGCACCTTTGATACAGCAGCTACCAATCAGCGAGAGCCCTTTGAGCTATTATCACCCAGTCATCACTATTCACGCTGATGTCCTCAGATGTTGCGAGGCGGACGCCGCTGCCTTTGAGCAGGGGGGACTCGGGGCTGATCGTTTTGGTTATTTCCATATCACACGTCAGCTGGCCTTTTGATCCGAGGGAGTGCCGTTGCCCAGGGGCGGGTGTGACGGGTTAGCGAGGCCTGACGCACGCGGATGAAAGAGGAGATGGTCGGCGGAGGCTCAACGCCGACCGCGTTGGATGGTCGGATGGACGGATGACTTTTGTAGCCGACGGACATTCGTGATCCTCAGAGGATGAAGCTTCCAATAACTATCCTTAAACTTCAAGTGATACTCAATCAATGATTAGAATCCACTCATTTGAAATGCTTGATTCTGAAAAATGCCATTTTGAACAATTTTAATTTAAGTTTAAGTATAAATATTTTAGAACCTTTGCTGTAGCTAAATCAGGATCGCACGACAGAGCAAACCTGATGCCTTCTTCTCCCACTACTCTCGTCAGTCCCGTAAGCGGGATGTCTCTCTAAAATAACACACACAAGTGTTACACACCAGGTAATTGTTGGCACGCAACAGTGTTGAAAACCATCAGACTACACTGATGTTTTGGTTTGCTTAATCCAGTCCAATTCATTTTCTGCCAGTCATCATAAACCAGGGCTCTTATCTTTGT